GGAAAATCTGCCGTCGAGGCCTCTGTGGTGCTGAGAAGCAAGGACTCCAGTTTCAGGACTGAGGTTTGCCTGGCTCGAGCCATGGTATTTCCACCTGCTTCACACGCATATGAGAGTCTGACAGTGAATAAGAAGGAAGAGAAAAGAATTGATGCCTTTTAATTGTCATCTTCCACAACATTTCATTCTGCTCCTCTGAGACCTTTACATGGACCAAGAAGCAGTTGTTGGAACAGAACAAGGGAACACTGCCTGCTTTAAAATCAGGAAGGATGTGTGTCAGGACTTACCTGTCCTCCAGACCTAGTCGGCCTTGATGCTGAGCTGCAAAGTGCGTGAAGAACGTGGCGTCAGAAAGGAGGAGGCCGCCTCAACACCCTGCTATACACGTGGTCACAGCCTTGCTTGCTGAACGTCAGGAGCGCTTGTACCGTTTGCTGCAGAATATCAGAGAGTACAGGCTGTAAAATGGATTGCATCTCAAGGTTAAGAAAACAAAAATCCTCACTAATGGACGGTAGAAAGATAGATAAAATAATGAACTTGGCAATGATGTAATTAGATTGGGATCTATAGTCAACACCTTTGGAACCTGCATTCAAGAAATCAAAATACAGGAGCTGATGGCCTAATGGCAAGAAGCTGTACTGCAATCCCAGAGGTACATAGTTCAAATCCACCAGATGCTCTGCTGGAGAAGGAGGGGCAGTCTTTTCCTGTACCAGTCAGATCTGATTTGATGGTACACACACAAAAATAATAAAATCATTAAAAAAAAAAAGAAATCAAGGTACATGTTGCACTGGGCAAATCTGCTCTCCAGAGTTCTAAAGAGCAAGGGTGTAAGTTTAAAGACTAAGGTGTGCTCAATCCAAGCCTTGATATTTTCAGTTGCTTCTTAAGTATCTGGAGTTGGATAATGAACAGGCTGGTGGGGGAGTCAGTGCCTGTGAGTGTATAGTTGGTGAAGAATATGAAATAGAGCGTGGCTTCCAGGACAAACACATCCGCCTTGGAGGAAGTACGGCCAGCGCGTCAACTAGAGGCAGAGGTGCTGAAGCGTCATCTCGCTCGCTTTGGACACGTCAGGAGGAAGCAGTCCTTAGAGATGGACACTCTGCTGGGAATCATAGAGGATCCACGCGCGAGAGGAAGACCCTTCGCAAGATGGACTGACGTAGGGACTCCCAGTGGGCTTGAGAAGGAAGGGCAGGACAGAGCTGCTGGTCGAGGTGGCTGTGAGTCCGCGAACTGGACGGCACCTAACAAGAGCAGCTGGGATGTTGGCGAAGAGTCATGAATATTCTGTGGACAGCCGCAGGGACAGTCTCCTGGGAGCAAGTGCCTACGTGGCTTCCAAGACAAGCTTGGTGAAACTTCACTTTAGACTTTGAGCCTGTGATCAGGAGGTGCTGCTCCTGCTGCTATATGCCATCGAGTTCCCTGCGACTCATAGCTCTGAAGCCTGCCCTGTCCTGAGCCAGTGTCACTGACTCCAACACACCCACCCCCACTACCCCAGTTACTGTGTCAGTCCATCTCATCTGAGGTCTTCCTCCCCTGCGCTGTCCCTCAGCCTTTCCGAACATGATGTCCTTCTCCAAGAACTAGTCCCTTCTGGCCGGGTGCCCAAAGTATGTGAGATGGAGCTTCAAAATCCTAGCCTCCAGGGGAGCTCTGGTGGCCTAGTGGCAAGAAGCTGCACTGCAATCCCAGAGGAACACGGTTTGAATCCACCAGACGCTCTGCCGGAGAAGGAGGCGCAATATCCTCCTGTACCAGTCAGATCTGATTTGACGGTACACGCACACAAAATAATAATAAAAAAAAAAAAAATCCTAGCCTCCG